CTCTCTCTCTCTCTCTCTCTCTCTCTCTCTCTCTCTCTCTCTCTCTCTCACACACACACACACACACACACACACACACACACGCATACGCACTCTCTCTCACTCATAGTTCCAAGACCAGAAAAAACGAAAGCAACAAACACGAATAACAAACTCACCGTCAGTCATCAAGGTGCGGTCGTTCGAAAGCCTTGATGCTGCACAGCTCAAGCCTCAGCGTCCAACATTCAGAATGTAGAGATGGTGTGTTCTGGGTGAGTGTGTGTGTGTGTGTGTGTGTGTGTGTTCTTATGTTCACTATACAGAACTCACAAAATGACTCAGCCAGACTGTTTCGTCGGACTTCCACCGACTCATCAGGAGGTTGAACCCCGACAGTCCGCCGAAGATGAACTGTATTGATGGCCAAGGACTCACCACATTTGCATGTGTGTGTGTGTGTGTGTCTGTGTGTGCGTGAGTGCGTGTGAGCATCCGTGTGTGCGTGTGTGCATGCGTGCATGTGTGTGCGTGCGCGTGCGTGTGTGTGTGCGAGTGCGCGTGTGTCCAACGTAGAGCGAAGTCGTAGTCGTGCATAGCAGCGTAGAAGCCAGTTGAGTAGCTTCAGTGTCGAAAACAAGCGTCGACTCTAGAGTAGCACAGGGTAGCGTAGAGTAGCTCAGTCGAGTAGCTTAGAGTGTCGAACAAGTGTCGACTCTAACTCGTCGTCCAGTACACCTGCCCTCAGGCCGGCAGTGCGCGTGCCCTAGAAAGTAGTTTCTATATGTTGTAGCGGCGCTGGACTGGTAGCGCATCACGGGCAACCCCGGTACCACATGCAGACCATGATGCGGTAGGGCTGGTAACACGCTTTGGTACCGGCGCTGGCATGTGGGCCCGGTACAGGCCGGAGCGGAGCTGCCCGCGACGAATCAACTTCTAAGAGCAAACGATCAGGACCAGCCCCGACTGTCTGCTTGTCACAGGCCGAAAATTAGCGATAGTTATATATGTAGGGACCAGCAATCAATGTCAGGTCCTAAAGGTAAGTCTATTTTATTTTTAGATTACTCTTAAACAAAATGCAATGCAGCAAGGATTGATCTATCTTATCTGCAGCTGTCTGTTAGTTGTCACCATGTCTGTACAACTAAATAATCAAAAATAAAAATAAATTACATGTGGAGATGCATGGTGGATGGCAGTTTATCTAATTAGTACTACAGCGAACAGTTGCTGGAATCCCCGCCCCCTTGTATCCCTCTTGAGTAGCCTCTTGTGTCGACGTCCTGAGCATCTGGTTGAGCACCGTGTCTAAAGGTGTGCAATCCGGCCCACCCCTTTGCCCCAAGTCTATGCTAAACCTGCCAGCCCTGCACCTTATTTACCCTCGCATGCAACGACCCTTACTTCCGATTGATCTGGCTGATCAAGAGCAAGCAGAACCAAGGACTTGCAGCAAAGCATGTGTGTACTCGTCCCAGCGGGTTGGCATGGTGACCGTGACCCGCGTGCTTCGTCCAGGGCCCTTCAGAGGCTTCGCCCGTCCCCACCAGCTTGCTGCCCAGGAAGAATGTCGACTCTCAAGGTTGAGCGCTCGCGGCACCTCACATTGAGAGGACTCTCAAGACAGAACTCACTTCCTCACGGTAAGAAGTGATGTAGAGGGTAGATAAGGAAGACAGCAATGTACCTCATAATGCTGCCCCCAACCACAAATTTCTCACTGGCAACCTGACGTGCATTTATGATGACCGGTCCTTGCCTTGGCACAACAAATAGTGAAATGCAGTTCCACCTCGACTTAAATGCCACATCAGCGAGCTCTCATCATCCAGCGTACATCTGTATGTCACCACATAGCCTTCCTGGCACGCCCACACGATCCTGGGCCGCCTATCGTCCAACGCCCAAGCCTTATCACTGCCGCACACCTCATGCGAAGCACCCAACAGCTATTGCGAAGAACCAGTAAAGCGCAGATTGAAACAGTTTCGATACCAAATTGCAAGGAAAATGAGCAATAGCAAGATGACAGAATCCAGATTACACGATCACATTGAAAGCCAGAAAGTCTCACAGTGTCCAGAAAGCAGTAATGCACCAATGTTACACCAATGGAGAATCAAAACACTGAAACCGAATGTCAATGAGAGCTCACTCTCGTCATCACCAACATCAGAGTGCAGGCCCTTCCCCATACTTGGAGCTCGGCGCCCAGATTACTCCCCAACACAGCTACTATCTGCCTATGAATTGACAATGCAACTTTTGACGTCAGCAGCCACCGAAGTACATGAAGATGTCGCCCAAATGCAGACCATCGCCAATACCAGGTATGAGCCCTCACATCCTCATCCTCATCCCCCCCCCTCTCTCTCTCTCTCTCTCTCTCTCTCGCTCTCGCTCTCGCTCTCTCTCGTCTGTCCGCCTTGTCTTCCCTCTGTACAGTGTACACCCGAAGACCACCCCTGCGCCTTGCTGCACTCCAATCCCAGCCAGCTATGGAAGCTGGGCTATGGAGCTGCCCTTAGCAGCGCCCTTCTTCCCACACGACGGCACGTGCACAGCACCTTGCCCCTGCCCCGTGCCCCTAGCGCTAGCAGCAGCACGCGAGCGTTCGCTCCAGCAGCGCTGCCGCAAACTGGCAAGTGCCTGAATGAGCCTCCAGGCAGCGAGCTCTTTCCTATATGGAAAGAGTCTGCCTGGCCTTCGACCTGGATGGGCTGGGCCTGCGCCCAGAAGATTCCGGTAGGCCCCAGGTTGCTGGGCCTCTGCTGATGCTGCTGGGCCTGCTTCAGTTACTCCCCCCAACTGTATGTGTATACTGCTGTGGATGTGGCCCAGGGCCTGCACTTCAGAAAAGGCCTAGAAGGCCGTGGAAAATCTTTGTTGCTCGGGTCCTGGGTTCCCTCAA